GGGACTCCAGGATCATGACCTGAGCCGAAGGCAGTCGCTTAACCAACTGAGCCACCCAGGCACCCCTCTACTCACATCTTTTATTCCTACTCTCGCTTCTGATTTAAAATGACAAATAGGGGCGCCTGGGTGGCTCTGTCGGTTAAGCATCCGACCCCTGATTTTTGGCTCAGGTGGTGATCTTGGCTCAGGTGATCTCAGGGTCGCGAGATGGAGCCCTGTGTCGGGCTCCAAGCTCAGTGGGGAGTCTGCTTGAGATTCTCTCTCCCTCTGCCCCTCCCTTAGCTCTCTCTGAAAAATAAATAAAATGACTTGAACATTTTCTTATCAAATAGATCTAAATATCTGAACAAAAGCAGATATAATTCAGGAGCCCTGAAATATAAGTTTTACAAGGAAAGTATAGACGCATTAGATAAATCAAAAAGTCTTCTATATTTTTTTCATAGTGGATTTTTTAAATGGACACCCCAACATTGAGGTTCTCCTTTAGATTTGACTATTTGAACAAGCCAACAAAATCATTTGTAGGCAAAAATAAAACTGAAAACCACCTGAGACAGGATACGGCGAGTAAAAGCGGACGCAGAAGGACCCGATGCCTCTCCCGTCCATGCGGACACGGCGTGGAACGGGTCCAAACTCCGTGCCCTCACTGCGGGCCAGGCACTTCTAACACCCTGCACAGGGCTGCAGGGTCTAGGCAGGTGGCTGGTAAGCCTGGCGCCGACTTACAGGATGCCAGCTTTGGAAGCAGCTTTCCTACTGAGTGACGTGGTCTCGGGACCGCTGAAGACCCTGCCTGTGGAGCTCCTGATGCTAAGTTAGGGAGACTGTTTCTGCTAATGGTTTAGCTAAAATGTTCCTGCTCCTTTAGCAGAACAGAGAGGTTTACACTAATACTGCCTTGTATTCATAATCCTATCTTTTTATGAACCATCCTTTGGGTAAATCTAAGGGAGAATTTATTTATAAACTTATAAATTCTTAGCTTTCAAAGTTAAGAGCAAAGTTTTGGGGGGATCCAGGGAGCCTGGGTCCCACAGTGATTGGGCCATGGGAGAGTCATAAATGCCTTTTCTGTTTCTTCCTCTGCTCCTCACGCAGACGGTGACTCTTACCCTGACTTCACGGCACTCGCCGCACTTTTCAAGGACACGTTTTCTTGTTTGTTGCTGTTAGGTCTGTTTGCCTCCTGGGTTGTAAGGTCGGTCCCTGAGGACACGGGTCACGGGGGTCTTGTTTCCTGGATGCCCAGAGCCCAGCACAGGGCCCGCTACATGGTAAATAAACGCCTAAGAAGCATTTGCTGGATGTTATAAAAGAACATCGCGAGCAGTGTTGCATCAGGTGGGCTCCCCTCACCGTGCGGGGACCAGCGAGGCCGGCCAGGGGCTGGTGTTCGCTAGCACCTCTCCATCTCCTGAAAAATGCCGAAACTAAAGAAAAATCCCTAATGTTCTCAAGAAATAAACACTTCTTAAATGGGACATGACCACCAAGCATACAAGGAGCAAACTGAACAAAAAAATGTAGAAGGTTTAAAAAAACAAAAACAAAACAAAAAACCCCAGCAGCAAATCTTTTATTTCCAGCTTCCGATCAGCTCACTTCCTGTTATTCTGTCCAGCTGTGGGCGCGCGGGGAGAACTAGAGGTGTATTCTCCGCACTGATCGAGAAGGTGCTTTTTGATATAGGTTTTAAGAGACTTTAAAATTCATGGATTTTCTTAAGACAAAATAAGCTGGCAATTTTTTAAAAGTTAGTAACTTAAATGTTTAATAAGTTTGAATTTATTCTCCAGTTGAATACATTAATCTTATATTCCTAAACAAATGTATTCACATAAACTGTAAACGGAGACTGGTACTTAATAAATGCTCCAATATTAAAACCATTATCATTACATTTATTTCATGTTGGACAATTCTGATTTTTCTTGGTAGGTCTGGGTGGAAAGATGCCTTATATAAAGTGCTTTTGCATCCATCGTTTCAAATGTGTCCACCCAATCTGGAGTGGGGAGATCTTGGTTCTACTTGCTGCTGTTTCTTAAAAAGTCTATGAGCAAGTCAGAATCTCTCTGATTTTATACCGAGGGGAGAGGACCGGAGTCCACGAGCACACAGAGTCTTATGGGGATTATGTTGAGGGGGGTGGAGAAGCAGGGCATTTTTTCCCTATTATCAATGTGGCCCCACAAATAAACAGCTGGGACAGTGTAGATAAATTACTTATTCCGGTTAACGAGAAAGAGAAGAATAAAAACCAAAGGACAAAAGAAAGATAAGTCAAAATTATCTTTTTTTTTAAAGAATATCTTTTTTTTAAAGAATATCTTTTCCCTCAATTTTATGTAAAAGTAAATCTCTTCCCCTACTCCTTTCAAGCCTCTGATATTTTTTTAAAGTTCTGACTAAGTTCATTTTCACTTCCTTTCATTCACAGATTTCATTAGAGGTCACAGTCCAGTGACCTTCAGGGTCATGGCCTGGCCAGGGTACGCCCTCCCCCGTGCGCGGCCTTATCTCTGGAAGCAGGGAAGCAGGACACGGCACCCCTTTCCTGCGATAGCTCATTTTCATTCTGAAGCCTGTCCTGACCCTTCCAGGATGCCGAGTCCCCTGTGCTCACCTCCTCTGAGACCAGCCTGCGGGTCCTGCGCCTGAGAGTTTTTCAGTCTGTTTCCAAACAGGGGAGACAGTCTGGAACGTGTGGCCAGTGAGGCCTTCCCCAGGCATGAAACACTCAGACAAGGGTGCCATGGGTCAGCGCTCAGAAATGCATTTTTTCATTATGGATTAAAGAACATTTAAAAAAATTGGGTGAACAAACTATTTACTCCAACTTTCACAAATAAATCTAAATAACTTAGTTCATGTTATTTTGAAGTATCATTTACACGAACTTAAGAGAATTATGGATAAAAGGGAAAAGTTTGATACTAACAATGAGAGGGTGATTGCTTTGCTGAAGCTAGAACTGTTCCAACTTGAAAGGTCACAAGATCAGTTGACTTTGGTTTTAGGAGGTCTGCGTGGCGTGGCTTGGCTCACACTAGGGATTAGTCACTAATTCTCTTGCTCCAGTACCGTAGGGCTAGCTTGTTGAGAAGTCAATTTTCCACCGTAACACAGAGGATCATGTCACGTGCGCATCTTCTAACAACATGAAATCCCTTGGCAGAGATTCACAACCCCTATTACGGACGTAAGAGATTTCAAAGCAGCCAAGAAATGCATATAAACAATCTCCACCCTGAAGGTCACATTCTAAAGCAGGTCTGCAAACTCACAAGTGTCGTTTTGCACAGAATTAGGAAAACTTTAAAGACCGTGCAAATTCTAACACTGAAGGATACAAAGCCAGAAAGGAAGGTCACTAGAGATTTTGACCTTACTCTTGGGCCTGATTTCTGTTTCTTCCAGTCAGCAAGGTCTGATTAGGCCACGTCATTGCTCTTCCCCACTGACCCGGGTCAGTACCTGTCCCCACCAGTGCGTGAGACTCCGCCCCCGGGCGTCCCAGTCACACACCTGTTATCATTTGCTGCGCGTCATAGGGCTCCATGTAGCCATCATTCTCTCCTGCTCTCTCTGCGTCCCTTTGACCTTTCGTCCTTTTGGCATCATAAGGGTCAGCATAGTCTTCTAAAATGATGACCTTAAAAGAACCAGAGAGGAGACCTGCCAGGGTTATCACACACCCGGATGGCCATGGTATCAAAATGGCTACTAACGATCTGCAGACTCCAAAGAAGTCAAGATCTCCAACCACCTTTGCATGGTGTTCTCACTGGCTCATGTCGTTATCCATTGTTAATCTGGTGGACAAACATCTGATTTATCTTGGTGGTCTAACTGACTGGCAACAATTCACCCAGAGTGCTGTTCACCCCCCAGCATCTCTCCATGCCTGCTCTCTCCCCAAGCAGTAATGCATTTGCGGGGGGCAGTGTGGCAGGGGTGGGTGGTGGGGAGTGGAGGATGGCGGTCACTTTAGAGCAAAAGGAAATGAACAGGTCTAGCACCTTCCCTGGAATGTTGGTCTTTTTAATGCCAACCTGGTGGGCAATATAGACCAAGTCAGTTGGTCCCCCAGTGCCTACTGAGCGTCCACCAGCACTGGGGAGACACCGTGAGGGAATCAACCTAAGACCAAAGCTGCTCTGGTCCTCAAGGGATCTGCAACCCCTCCAAAGGGAACTTCCTAAGAAGTCTAAGAAACAGCACTAAACAGCACTGAGGGAGTTCTAGGTTCCATAATTCACAGGCAGACAGATCCTCCCAGGCTACAGTCAGAGTTTTGGTCGGTATTTGTGGCAGAAAGCATCGAATCTTCCAAGAATAGAAAGGTGCCCGGAAAGGTGGTGTGTGTGATCGGTTCTACTCTGCAGCTGCTGGATGACAATGCTGGCTCGGGAGCTGAGCTTGACAGGCTCTTCTCAGCGGGGAACAGTTTTGTGGGAACTGTATGGGGACAAAAAAGCACATACTTGCCCAAGAGCAGTGTGACACGACAATAAACAGCTGGGATAGTATAAACTCAGTACTCCAGCTGAAGAGGAAGACAGGAGTAAGAACCAAAGGGCAGAGAATGTTAATCAGAATTATGGGAGGAAGCCCCAGGTCCTGCTACAGTCTGACTACGCTCTCCAAAGGGTTCCCGGAGAAGCAGAGAAGCATCAGCCGAGCCGGCAGGGAGAGTTCAGATGAACAGGGAGACATGGGCGGGCGGGGGGAGCCTGCCTGGGAGGAGACGGCCTAAGAAATGGTGGACATCCAGAAGAGAGGCCACTGCAGAGCACCCCCAGCTCCATTCTTCTCACTGCCCCCGACGTGTGCCCCCCCCCAGGGGCTACCAATGAGTGCCCCCCACGTGTGCCAGGACAGAGAGGAACGAGGGGCGCAGCACTCAGCCCTTGGCTGCGAGGTGCTTAGATCTGCTTAGAAGGAGTCAGTCAGGGAGACCACGGGCTAATTCTGGGCGAGCTGGGTCCTTGCTCATCTCTCTACCTCCCCCCACCCCGGGGCCAGCACAGCACAGGGCCCCTGTCAGTATTTGTGGGAAGAACGAGTGGAGGATGAACAGAAGGGCCCAGTGCAGACACATAGGGTAGGTGCTGCGGGCTCCTGACTACACGCAGGGAGGCAGTGTGTTTGGAGTCTGAGCAAGAGAAAGCTGAAGTTCCCACGACAGGAGGTGACAGCCTGGGCTGGGGTCTGGAAGCTCCGTCCGAGCTCTTCTCTCCCTTTTTGCACCCAGAAGAGCGAGTTTAAAAAACAAGCTATCAGGGGCGCCTGGGTGGCTCAGTGGTTAAGCGACTGCCTTCGGCTCAGGTCATGATCCCAGGGTCCTGGGATCGAGCCC